TGAAATGTTTCGCTGAGTTTTTCTGTGCATTAGCATTCCACATTTCTTTACTTCTCACTCACTCAGTGGTTGCTTAATTAAAAATGCCGTCGAAATAGTCATCTGAAAAATGTTGAGTGTGAAGCATTCCATTGGTGAAATGCACCACGAGAAAAATGAAAATACACAAATGTTGAAATAAATAAAAATTAAATACGAAAAATATTTTTTCGTTATAATATAGCAAAGGAAAACAGTCGGCGATAGTGAGTGCGGATTATAAGTCAAGAAAATTTCAAGTGATTCTACTGGTCATTCACCAGCACTGAGTCGACTTGGTGTGATTGTGACGAACCCAAAGCTATGGCACTGTAATTTGAATCTTTAGACTGTAGAGATGCGAAAAGACCTTGTTCGATGTACTAAAATTTAAGTTAAATATTCATTAACGCTTTGAGATTATGATGTGTGTGTGTGTGTGCGTGTGTTGAGCAGCGGCAATCCACCAACATGATGAGATGACATTGCGAAAAGAACATAGCGACAATGGCAACGACTACGACGTCCAAAAACTTTCTATTTTTGCACATTTCCGAATATTTTAACACCATAAACTTTGAGCGCGCAATAATTATACGGGTGCAGTATAAGTATTTCACATGAACTGTGCCATAAAAACGTTTTGCAATTTTAAAATTCGTTTGGTGAGCCCAATTTTATTGTACTCCACCGCCGCCGCCGCCACAAAAAAAAAACGCAAAAACATTATCTTCTATCGGCTTTGTTATTTCCATTTGATGTGTGCGAGTGTCAGTACTTTGGCCTTCAGTATTTGAAAATGAAAAATATTTTGATGTGAAAATTATACCGTAGAACAAAAAAAAACCCAACTCGATTACACAACATAAACGAAAACTGAACGCAAAAAAGTACATTAAATGAACCATAGTGGCCACCACAATGACAAAATAAAAGATGAAAGCGATGTGATACATTTTGATGATGCACTTTTAGCAGTCGGTTCGGTTCATCACACAAACAACACTTATTGTAAAATACATATCGTTTATTTACTTTATCTGTGTGAATCACCCATGAATACCTGGATGAATAAACACACACTGGCAACAAAAATTAACTATTATCACATTTTGCAATTGAATGGTAACGTCGTAGCTGGTGTTAGACGGATGTGGCTTTTGAACGAAGCAACACATAAACCACATCAAATTAACCTACTTGAATACACACACTTAGTTAATGAAATACACGTTATTTGAGAAGTGAAACTTGATACAGAAAAGATCTTATTATTAGGCATAAAAGCCCGGGAATTTGGGTTAATATCCAAGCAATTTCACAAATGATAATTTACATTCGAACACAATATTAACACCCGAATACTTTATCCAAATATAAACGAAATGATCCCTTAAATTACAAGGCGATTTAATAAATTGCAGCATTGCTAATAATTGTATTACTGTACAATTTATGAATGGTTACTCAATAAACGTAAATACACAGACAAAGAGAATGAAATACAGTTACAAATGGTATAATTGCTGTAACAGGCATCATCGCTTGTGCTAAAAAAAGACAATTAATTTTCATTTAACATTGATATTACTTGGCTTGTTCTTCTTCATTCATATGATACATCTGAACCAAGCACGTTGAAAGATGTTACCGCAAATGTTTAGCTGAGCAATATTCATGATGGTTTAATAACATTTAAGTCTCTGAAATATCGAAGAGAATTCAGATTGAATCGTTTGCTCATGTCATTAATTTTTTAAGTCTTCTTCAAAGTGTGCGTCAATCAACACGAATATAAATCATACATTTGCAAAGCCATATAGCATAAATATACTCAACACATTATGTTAATGGAGTAACATATACATTGAAAATATGTGCTCTTATTATTTATGATTAGCTGCCACGAGTGGTTTACTGTTTTATTGCCCGATTTCAGTTTCGGCAGGTGAAACAGCGAAATGATGTGATTAAAACGGCTTTCTCTTACATATTTCATGAATGACGTATTACGTCAATTCATGCTTGAAAGCGAAATACCCTTTCATTGAAGCATTGAACCGCGTTAACCACTTTAACATCATCTATTAGAGATTTTTCTTTTCAAATTTCTTCAGAATTTCAAAGTAAGCCAACATTCGGTTCAACAAATTCATTTTTTCTCTCGAATATTCAACGAAATATCAACTTTTCAAAATAATGAGCCAGCCTTCATGGCCATGACTGGGTGTAATCCGAAGATTGGGGGGCGCATCTTCATCAGTGTCGCATAGAACGTATTTCCACGTTCAAAGAAAACATACAATCGAATAAAATATACATCGAATCTGAAGATTTCACTCATTTGACTTGATTTAACTCAAAACGTAATTGCTTAAATGAATGTTACGTAATTCTGGTTAAAATAAAAGAAAATGACGTCGATAAATTGATGAAAACTTCCAACTGTGAGAAATGACTCAATCAATATGGCATCAAAATGAATGCTTCAATTACATCACGGAAAGACTGTTTTCATTTTTCTTCTGGCTTGGCTTACGTGTATTCGAACACGGTAAGCTTCACAACGACAATTTGTAGAATAAAAAAGTCATCGAATGGGAATCAATCTTAAGCTTCGACTCAAGTTAAAAGGCATCAAGACCGAATAATATGTAGCATAAATTATTAACAAAGAACACACGACAGCATCAAATTAAAACGATTCGAAAGAGAGATCACGAACTGCAGCACGAATCGACACATAAATGGTTTCGTTGTGCAACCATGCAGAATATTCTTCTGTCAAAAGACATGCCTTGTTGTAATTCTCTTTTCTAGATTTATTAATTAATTTTTTTTGTCTATTTTCTGTATTGATGGAACTTTGCGTAATGACTTGAAGCGAATGGAGTCAATTATATGGTCGCTTAAATAAATGTTTTCCACGTACCACGTGATTTAAGTATTTCAGAGAGGAAAGACAATAGTTTTCAACACAACTAACGCGGATAATTATATATTTACGTTGATTGCATGATTTCGTCTTGTTTAAATGGGATCCAAAATGCCGCTTACTTCATACTCAGCTACCCATTGTCATGTTTCATTTGCGAACGAAGGAAAAATTATACATTTCGAAAAAAAAAAACAATTGATTTTCGGTTGAGTTTTTAATCGGCTAGCAATTTATATGAATTAGATTTAAAAGCCAAGATAATTGCGATTACGGATTTGTTTGATTGAATTCAAGCAATTGCTTAACGATGGTATCGAGATTGAGCATGCCCAAGGGTTTATTTCTGTTCAACAATGAAAATTAACAAACAAAAGAGGAAATTGATATTTTTCCCTCAAATCTTTGTCCATTTCGCATCTATGAAATCAATGTGTGATTGATCATTTACAGCTACTTCCAAACCGCACATATTTTATTGATCACAACAAATCTCTTTTCGATTGTGTAAATCTATTTTTCACTTGATGCTACCATATATTTTCTTTGTCGCTCTCTTGTTCGATTTGAATTCATGCTTGTCATTTTCAGTCTATGATTGTGAAGTTTTTTTCTTCTGGTACATGGTTGAGCGTTGAAAAAGAAAATACCGAAAGAGCGTACAAATCAATCATGTAATGTTATTCAATTGAATTGGTTATATTCATGAAGATCAATGAAAATGAAATGGACAACGAACGAAGCGACCGAGGAAAAACGAATTTTTATCCGAACTAAGTACAATAAATTATCTCAATTTGGAAAAAAGCGAATCTGGTTCCGTATGTACACGACACGAAAAAAAAAACATCATCATCGAAGAAAGGTAGTTATTGTGTTATGTAAAAAATAGGGTCTTCTTTGCTGGATGAATTCGGACCATACTCGAGTTCAAATTCCATTTAATTATAGAGGTTTTATTCTTAACTACATCTTGTTCGTTATTTTAACCAACAATTGTGTTGCGTTTTATTTTTTATTTTTTGCTTTGTCACTTCAATACAATGAAGATGATTTCGTATGCTTGGTCATCATCGGTGCTTTCGCTTTCAATTCGCTAAAGTTCACTTGATGTGTGCCTGTGCCTGTGTGTGTGAGAGTGAGTCATGTTCTACAATGCTAATTTTTTACAAGACCTTTCTTGTAAATCTATTTCGATCCTCTTTAACTGTGTTCACTTTTTTCTGTGCTGTCTATCCGTTTGCATGTGCGTGCGACCGCTTCATTTCATATACTTTCTTTTGCGCTGATTTACACGCGGAATTGTTTCGAAATGAAGCTGCAATTGTGTTCCATGAAATATCACTTGCGGCACACTACACATCCGCATACTATACGTATTTAATGTGCGAACGACAACAAGTTGCTTTGTTTGGATAATAATAATCTTCGGAAATGTCGGTGTAATCCACGAAAAGTGGTTTGTTATTAGATGGATGATTTCATTCATTGTGTTCGGGGTCCAATGAATTGATCGGCTAGACACAAAAATAATATTGGGTGACTCAATAACAATGATATTTCGCGTATCGGATGTGAAACGCATGAATTGACTCAATAAGATACAAACCCGGCAATTTAGCATTTGCCGATGGCAATTTTCATTTTTCTTTTGATTTTTTTTTACATGCGCAAATCTCTTCTTTTTCGTACTTGGAGATTTTGCAGTTGCGCTCGCACACGAGCACAAACAACTTTCACTAATTACTCATACTTTTGTGTGTTCGACCGGGAATGGGCCAAACGAAAACGAAATCGAATCATGACGGTTTATCAATTGAATTGAACACTCGAATTGAGATGAAGTAATAAACACAAACAAAAGAAATTTTACCCGAAAAAATGAATTTCAAGTTTTTTCGCACTGAAATCGACAAACGAACATTTCTTTTGAGCTCAAACGAATATCAAACAGAGAGACCACATTCACTTTTCTCTCTCTTTCCCATTATATTTGTAATGACTGATTTTTAATTAACCAAAATAATTTCTTTTCGTTTAATTTCAGGCATTTCGAGCAATTATGGTATTTTGCGCATTGGCATTGCCAATGACCAACGCAGTAATTAACACAAATTCGATCGAATCAAAAATTGAACGACGAGAAGCGTTCCAAACTTACGGGCCACCGCCAATACAATCACAACCACAACAACAAACTATTGTTTTGCCAACACCCGTTTATGGAGCACCGGCAATCGGAAAATATCCACCACCCCCACCGGAAAGACCACCACTACCGTCCAAGGAATATGGTATGTACATCAACTAATTGATAATAGAGTAATCCTAGGAATATAATCACTATTTATTCAAGATAAATTGAGGAATTTAAATGTAGAGCGAAAAATTTAATTCGATCATGAAAACTTAGAAAATATCATTATTTTTTTACATGCACAGGAATTCCAGTCCGTCAGTATGGACCCCCCAAGGTGCAAATTGAATACGGCGCCCCACCAGTGGCCCAGTCACATCAACAAATCCAAACAAATAATCATCGGCATCAACAAGTTATAAATCATAATAGCCAAAATAGTTTGTCCTTTTTCGATCAAATAAAAGAAACCTTTGGATTTGGATCGTCGGGCAATCAACCACCACATCAATCGTATGGACCACCACCACAAGCACCCATCAACCATTTTACACCGCCAAAAGTGTATACTAAATACGGAGTACCATCAAAACCACAATTTATATCAAAACCGCCTACAATCTATGGTATGTACTATTCAATGTTATTTAGTGAAAGTCGTTTATTTTGAATGAAAAAGACGACAAGTAAAAACTTTCTGAGCTAAAACAGAACATTAAATCTGTAGTATCAAAACAGATAAAAAAAAAATATGACAAAAATATGACAAAAAATAATTTACCCCAAAAACTGAAATAAATTTAAACGCACGAATGATTTTATAGGCCCTCCACAGTCAAAACCTCACACCAATTACGGTCCACCAAAGCAATATCAACCACCCGTACAATTGAAGCCATTTTACGGTCCCCCAATTAAGCCAGCTGTTAACTTCAAGCCCCAGCAACCACAACCACAAATTCGGCAACCTCTTCCTGGATACGGTGTACCCGTATTTCAGTCAATACCGTCATTCTCGCACCAACAATCAATCCCTTCGTTCCCAAAGCCAATCAAGGGAGCTGGTTGTGATGGTTGGAAACCAATTCCCGGTCCATCGTTTGGCTCACAATCCATTGGACACAGTGGCTCCGCTTCAATTCCAGCAATTCAACCCGAAAATGTGTACTTGCCACCACAATCAAATCCACCTGTCGAATCAACTTTCTCAATTCAACCCGAAAACACTTATGAAGTGCCACAATTAAATACTCATACTGTCCCTGAATCCGTACTCACTGTTCATCCAGATAATACGTATTTGCCACCAGTAGCAAATTCACTTCATGTTGCCGATTCAAGCCTTGCCGTCCATCCACTGCCAACGAATCTTCAACTTCCAGTTGCCGAAGCGACCAGTTTTCACAATGACGTAAATTTGGGATCAAACATTGCATCAGGCTTGGGATTGACAAGCATTAATGTTGTTAAAAGCGAAGGAATTGAGGTTTGTATGATTTTATCCAGAAATAAATTATTCTAAACAGCAATAATTTTTAATTATTTTAATTGGACGCTAATCAATTGAATATTCTGTGTCTCTTTTACAGCTTTCAAATAACTTTGTAGATTCATACTCATTGCCACCAGCAGATTCGTTTGCACCAAACTTTCATAAGAGACCGCCAACTGGTTTAACGCCGCCCAATTCATTCCCATATCCGTTGAGTTTTAAACGTCCAATTCACGTGAGTGCACCACGACATCCAGTTTCATTCAGACCACCAGTGCCACAAGGTTTACTCGAAAGTATCGGTCAATCTGTACAACATCAAGATCAATTCGGTGTTAAAATTCGTCCACAATCAAATGTTTACCTACCACCTCCAACCAATGAAATTCCACCACCACTAGGTTTGTTTTAAAATTAATGGATTTGAGCTTAATTAGTTATAACTTACCAGTTGCTTTTCGCATCAATGCTCAAAATGGTAAATACATAAATTTCGATTTGATTCATTTGCTATTTAGGTCACAATTCATTGCCATTAGCGCCAGCCGTTCCATTCCATTCGGGTCCACCAAAGGGTAATCTCTTCGACCATCAATTTGTGTATTCTCCATCACCATGTAGTCACGGTCCAAATTTAGCTGGTGGACATTATGCTAGTAGCTCAAATCAATTTGGATCAATTCCACAATTGCAAACGGTCTATGGTGTGCCAAACAATCAAGCGTTAGACGTTAGTCAATCGAGTAGTTTTGAAATTGCACAAAATTCCGGAAATCAAGGATTGCTCACCAGTTATGGGCCACCTGCATCCGGAAATCCAGCCGATAGTTTTGCACATGGTAGTCAAAAATCACTGACAACCGTTCAAATCGATAGTGTAAATAGTAGTGTAACAAGCAATGTAAAACACGAACCAATCGACACTCTACCAGGTCTTTCATCATCAGGCTTAGATATTATATCAGCACAAAAATCCGTTAACATTGAAATACCTGTTCAAGGTCAACATGGTTCATATTCGTTGCAATTCCAAGCTGCAGACCCGTTAGCTAGTCAAAATAATGAAATTGATACACCTGATCACCAAAAGTTGTTGGACCAAGGGCTATTACAATCGATATTATCAGCCATCGAACAACCAAAATCTACCGATCAATCATCAACAAACGAAAGCCTAGATAACCATCCGGATGTTAATGAATTTGCACAGAGTACAATTGGCCAAGAGACATTAGCCGAAGTTAAAGCCGAATAAATAGCATTTACAAGTATTCAAACACAAAAAAAGAGCTGGGAATTGCAAATATACAATTCTATTGAATAAAAAAGAGGAATGCAATGAATGATGTGGATGTGAAAAAAGAAGCAGCGCCAATGTTGTTAGCTTAAATTATTCTGTATGTTAAACAATGTAACAACATGAAAAGGGGCAACAGCGACAACTCAATGCAAAGTTGTGTGGATTGAATGTGAAACGAGCTAATGGTGAGTAAACGAGCGAATGAACGAATGAATGTGTGTGTGCATGTAAATGCGATTGCAAGACAGTTCAAAAACCAATTTATTTATTTTCTTCTAACCATTTTTTTTACATTTTATTTAGAAAATATATATTTTATTAAATGGGGACACTTTGTATTACATGTAGACATTTTTTTAATAGATGAGAAAAGAGAAGAATAAACGAAGTATTAAGTAGAAGCAGAAAATAAAGGGAAGAACGAACGAAGACAACAATTGTAGTTTTACCGTTGCCATAAATTTAGAAGAGTTATTATTGTAAATGCAAACTGAAAGTGAATAGAGCATTTTATGTTATAGGAATGGCACATATATACACACTCACACACATATATACAGCCACGATCGTGGTCAGTCGTTGGTCAAACGTGTGTTGCACACATGTGAATGGGGTATTTTTTTGTTTGATTCGTGCATTAAATGGACATGAAAATAAATTGGGTAAAGAATTCGATTGTTTTGATTTTACCATTTTTGGCCTTTGACTTTGCCGCATCGTGCTTTTTTGTCCTCATTTTTATCTTTTCAATTAAAGTCTCGTTTTTACTACTCAAACTGTTGTAATTATCATATGTATTGCAAATGTAAAATTCAACAATATATACTTAGGTTATAAGACTGTTAATATTAAATTATAAATTCGTGTTGTAGATCTTATGACATAAAACTACATATAAATTTTAATTGAATAAAGAACAGAAAACTACCGTAAAATGATAAAGAAAGCTGACTTTTACTATCTTTCTTGAAATTCCAGACAACACCGAGCCTATTAAAGACATCAATTCCCCAACGGGAATTTTTTTCATTAATCATCCAATTATTCGTTGGTACAATATGATGTTTTTGTAGTATCACGTTTCAGAATGAACTTTCACACGTTCGGTTCCGATCGGTTCGGGTATCACCATTTTAAGTTCCAAAAATTAACACAAATCATTCTCTCTTCAATTGCGAAACAATATATTGCGAATGGGAAATCTTTAAAAAAAATTGCAACATATCAACATCAATTTGCATGAATCAAAATATTTTGTAAAATACACACAACTGCAACAACTCATAGTCATGGAGTGGCCGCATTTTTCGGTCTGGCGCATCACTCTCTCTTTCTTTAATTCAAATATTGATTTACAACAATCGTTTTATACAATATCGATGCGAACAACATCGACGAATCGAAGAGGGTACACAAGCGATCAGAATCAGTGTCAAACGCCAATCAAGATATTAAAAATAAAATACATGATTCAAACCATGCAAAATGACAAAGTTACCTATGACCTGCTGACTCAAATAGCATCAAACAGTCAACAACATCACGCTCTTACAGCACACCAAACAACAAACTCGTTTTCAATTGAAAAGAAAAGTATGATTCCTTTGTTTTCTAGTTGGTAAATAAGACTCAATTTCATACAAATGACAGAGAAGAAAACTCGTGCGAAAATAGTAATCTTCGAAAATCATTCGTTATCCACGCAAAAGCGAAAGCAAACAAATGAAAATATGAAAAGAGTATGCGAAGAGGAAGAGAAAATAACGAAAAGCCATGTTTTAACTGGCCCAATAAAAATAAAAACAATGTGCACAGAAATGCCGAATTCGTGCTGCACAACGTTTTAAAGATGATATATCTTTTTTTCTCTACTCCTCTCATATCGTCTAAAACTGGCTAAAAATGAATCCAGGTTTGCCGAAAAATACTTCAATACGTGTGCCGAGTGATTGACAAATTGAATTTTCATGCATTTTTTTTTTACATATGCGTAGTATTGGATTTTTTCCCGATCATTGCTTTCGGGTGAATACATGCTATTTCAGTAAAGATTAAAGAATTTTACCTTATTGCATTACGTGAGAGTGAAAAAAATCACCATTCATTTTAGTATTGTATTTGATTTTATCAATATATGAATGAATGACGACGAAGCAAACAAAAAAAGATGAAAGAAAACAAAATCGACAAAACGTCATAAATCAGAATTTAAAAAAAAGATAAAAGCGCTAAAGAAAACCTGAATCAAATAACTGCTGCATACGTGAATGTTCGTTGACTCTCGTTGACACACTTTAGCAGCACCTCCGTTTTCGATCTCCAAGATTTTTTTTTAATATAATCACAATTTTTTTGGGAAAGAGAATTCTTATCGCGTGAATGTCGAAAATCATTTCATTTTCGTTAACGCACCGGTCTTCGTTGTGAGCAAGGTAAAAGTGAAATTTTTGCTTTTGGAAGTTTCAATCATTCATTCTCAATTTATTATCACTCGTTGGATTGTTTTCACATTTATGATCTGATACAACCGGTTTATGAATACTATTTCATGAATTTTATTTCTTTTTTTTTTCATCCGATATTCTTTGAGTTGTTGTTTTCTTCTACAGCAATGAATCTTACATACAAGAAAAACTTGACACAGTAAATGCGTTATGTGATGATAAGTCGATATATCCAATTAATTAAGACGAAAACAATAAACAAAAATAAAAACAAATTTCACATTAATCCGATTACAGGTTCCGAAGAAAGTGCGCACGGCACCAGTTCTACCGGAATGTAAAAGAGTGTTAATTAATCTCGGATTCTTTTTTCTTCTTCAAATTTCCATCTCAAAGAAAAGTTAATAAATTGACTTCAAAATCCGCTGATTTATCTCGTGAATGTTTGAGTCGTTTTTTTCATTTACTCATTCCAACAGTTTTTTCATCGGTTCATAAACCTTGAGACTTTAGGGTTTCCGGTTGTTTTTAGTGAATTAAATCGGCATTTATAAAAGTTCAAGTATGGACATTGGACTAGATTCGAATATTTTCCAAGCACGTCCGTATGCACAGAGATTATTCTTTGTAGCAAAATATAAAAATTCAAGCTGAATACTCAAGAAAAGAAGAGAATGTTGATTAATTTACGCGCAACTGAGATAAACACGATTTAAAAACTACCTAAAATATGCAAATTTTCGAATCACACTTTTTTTATTCGTATTACCGTTTCGAACAATGCGCACAGACCGAAAAGCATAAACAAAATGCATTTTATCAGAAGCAGAGAGAAAATTCAGGTAACTCTGCACAGCATAAACAATTCACCAAAAAAAAAAAGAGAAGATAAACGAATAGCTGCTTTGTGTCGATGTAGTGTGTGCAAGTTCGACCACGGTGAAGTGTTTCGAAATTTTTGTTGCTACATTTTTCTTTTCGATGTGCCAAGCAAAAGATAGCTACAATCGGCTTTTTGATAAATTATTAGGTAAACAAGCGGTTTCGATGTGTTTCAATCCCTGTAAATATGGATGCGGTTACTCGGTTCGAGATTTTTTTTTAGCATCACATACTGAACATACAAAATGCCAGTCAACGGTGCAGAGAAAATTGCATGATTCTACGGCAATGGACTTCAAGTTTATAAGTTTATGGCTGGACCATTGAAAATATACGAAATTTTAACGGACGCCACATGAATACATTGTCTTAACTACCTTTTTCGTAGAAATGTGGATCACTCTGCATTTTCTCTCTCTCTTATTCTCTGAAATAATACAAAATCGTTATCTTACGCTATTAGTTTTCGCATTTGTTTGGTTTTCGTTCATTTCCTCGTGCTGCAGCAAGTTTAAAACGAATTTTAATTTTCGAAAGAGACAAAAAAACCGTAAATGATTTTCGATATATTGAACATTTATGCCAGATCTTCACGAACGATTCGTTTGCAGTAATTTATTTAATAAATTAAACAAAGTAATTTCGTAACGATGGAAAAAATAAAGTCGACATGCTTTTAATTTTCATTTTCGAATGTTTTGCTTTTTTTAACGGTGATTTTGCTTGGGAATAATGGCCATTCACATCTAACGCAAAAAACAGCATTCTTTTTGTCTCGTGCAACTCGTGCACTACACAATAAACGTAAAATCAAGTTCTCATTACGTTGATGCCTATAAAACACGTACTCTGATAAAACTTTGTTCCGTATTTGTTCGAATTGTTGTGCACTGTGCATTGTTGGCGCCTATATTTTGCAATTGAATTTTCTGTATAATGTATGCCATTGCGAATCAGTATCCAATTGCACTGGGAAAAATATGCCGGACTAACGACCAAGCGAACGAAAATGAAATTAGATCATCGAGCTTGGTATGGTACGTTGCATGATTCCATTTTTGTAGCCATTTATCATTCGAAATCAGGTGGTTTTGCTAAGGTGAAATTCAATGGAGATATATGGTTATGTATGTATCATTCGGCTAAAAGACCCTTAATACGCTGAGTAGTCTGTTGAATCTCATTAAAATGTACACCGGAAAAATATAGGTGAATATTATTCTTTTTTTACACTCACTCTCTATCGATTTTAAACGCCATGAAACGTTGTACGGTGGACGTTTTTGAATGTTCGAATGTTCGGTTTTTTCAAGCATAACATCATTAATCAAGTTTTGTTACGATTTGACCCGTTGAAAAATGTTCAAATATTTATTTGACCCTGTTCTTCATTTCAAATCTGGAAAATTACATAAATTAGTTGAATACACCTAATAAAAACGGTACCAAAATCGATCCTCCAGACTAACCGCCAATTTTATAGATAAAACACTCAAAATCTTTCCATAGTAAATCTGTTTAATTTTTTGAATTGTTTGATACATCTGTATTTCTCGTAAATCGGCCACGCTTTATGTTTTGATATGATTTCAAAGTTTTTGAATGAATTAATGAATGAACCGAAGTTTGAGAAGAAAATTATAATTTTGTGCGCATTCAAAAGGATAAATTATATGCTAAATTAACTTCAATTCAATCCCTTTTAAGTAAATGAATTCCAATTTTTCTCCAATTTAAAAACAAATGATTTAAATAACTGCAAATGAAATCGAAACGATAGTGATGCTGTGATGAAATATATTAACAAAGAAACCCGTTTACCCAGTTTCTATATCAATCGAATACATTTCAAAGCTGATGAGTTTAATTCAAATCAACAATACATTTTGAATAAAATTTGTTGTTTCTCTGACTATCTATTCACAATTGACATTGGAAATTGTTGTTTCATCAATTTTGAACACATCAAATCATTACATGGAACGTTTTTTTTTGTTTTGAAAATCAAATCTCTTAACTTTTTCAATAAATGGTTTTAATTCAGCATGTATTGCGTATGCATAAAAACGAGCCAGTTCAAATGAAAAATTGTCTCACACGCAAATTTTGAATATATGATTTAATTGACATTGTTAGTGCCATTTAACTTGCATACTTTCGTTATTGTGTTTCTCAATTTCGATTCGAATAGAAACGAGTAAGATTCATATAGAATGCACATAAATAAAAGCAGCAGTGAAAATAAATGGTCGTTTAGATTAATTTGCCTTACAAAGAGACACGGCTGTTATTATATGCTGAATGCATATGCGATTGATTCACAATCAAGACATGATCCATGCCATACCACATCACATCACAAAGCATGAATGCATTGAAGAGCGAATGAGAAAAGAAGAGAGAAAAAACACGAAGCAATGTGCGGTGTGCGTATTGGTATTTATTGGTTTTGTGTGCTCGGCTTCTTTGGGCGTCGATAATAATAATTTTACATTTTTCTACGGTGCTACAGCCGTGTTATGCTGAGTGTATGTGTGTTCAGATGACCACTTTCACCTTTTTATTTATTACTGCGTATAGATTTGGTTTGGCTCATTTTTTCTTTCTTT